ATTTATTTATTTATTTATTTATTTATTTATTTATTTATTTATTTATTTATTTATTTATTTATTTATTTATTATTTGATTATGCCTCCAATTTTTTTATATGGAAAATGATTGAAGGTTGGGGTGAAGAGTAAGGTCAGGTTAAGACCTTACTCTTCACCTATATCCCCAGTATTATTAGAAAAATTTGCAAAACGTGAGCTGCTACCTGCAGGGATGATAATGAGGCGGTGCTGTTTAGGGAGGCAACATTGTTGGCAACTTTACCACATTAAGAATTAGCAAAATAGTAGCGCAGGAAAGGGTGGTGCGACTAAAGTTGCATTGCAATGGCAGGTTGGGAGGATAGTGGCCAAGACAGTTCTGATTCATATTCACTGATCCAAGGCTTATCACAGATATATCAGGACACTCCCTTATGTCTAGGCAGGTGCCTGGCTATGTTTTGACATTGCAGGTCCAATGGTAATGGCGAAGAGGCGACGACACATCATGATTATCGGCCACAGTTATGTTCTGAGCAGCTCAATAGGCAGCCAGGTTGGCCTGGGGTTGTAATCTTGGTCTTGAAGCACGAGCCAAGATAATCTGGAAGGGGATCTGAGGAATCCAATGGGGCCAATTTTGCAGAGCTGCTGCATTTGGACTGCATCCCCCAGATATGTTGCTAATACATTTGGGTGGTACTGATCCAGCCAGACATGGTGGAAAGGCTTTGATCTTGGACATACTTCATGATCTAAGATGGCTGAGGGCAGCGTGCCCTGCTACGAGTGTTTTATAGTCTACAATCATTCTGTGGTGTGCGTGGATGGCAGTGGCGGCATGCCCTGCTTTGAGCATTTTATGGTCTATAGCCATCCTGCAGTGTGCATGGATGGCAATGGTGGTGTGCCCTGCTTTGAGCATTTTATGGCCTACAATCATCCTGTGGCATACATGGATGGCAGTGAAATGTGTCCAGCGGGTTAACACGGTGCGGTGGTGTGTTAACAGGGAAGCATGCAGAACTGTTTGCAATGGCCTTGAATCAGTGATTGGTCACCAGGAGATCTGCATGGAGAGGCCTGAGCTCTTTCGGAGAGATGGTGTGCTTTCTGATGGAGGCTTGGATGTCTTCCTTAAAGACATCAAGGGGGGCCCTGCTTGTGGAGCTTGATAAGCTCAATGGCGGGCATGGGACTTAGTGTCTCTAGTCCCTATGCTGTGGCGGGTAGTATGGATAGAACAGTCCCATCACAATCACAGTTAATGTATATCTCATCTGACCTCCCAGCACTGCGGATCGTGCAATTACAGTTCTGGGGGGGCGAGAGAAGATGTGCTGGGGCCACACCTGGATCAACAGTCAACAAGCAGTCGGTCGCTTGAGGTCAGGGGGTGATCAAATTTGGGCCGGCTGGGTTCCTGCTGTCTTCACGACCACGAGAACTTGGGGCCAGGGACTTGCCCATTTGTTTGTTAAGGGGTCTCTTGAGATCTCTGTGCTTAAACCTGAATTCCGCACTATGGCAGGACCCCCCTTTTGCAGAGGGCAAGAATGATTATTTAATAAAGTGTGGCCCATGTTTATCCCATAATACTTGTCATGCATCATTATTTTGGGGCAAGGGGGCAAAGGCACAGCTCCAGCTAATTTCTGCCTTTCCTCTCCCCTTCCCTCAGTTTATCCACAGTTTATTCCAACTGTCAATCTCAACCACCACTTTCCAAAGTTCCATGATTAACCCCCCACTTCCTGTTCAATTTTAAAGATCACAATTAGGGAAGTGGGGAAAATGCACTTCCGTGAGTTTTAAAATGAATTAAACGGATTTCTTATTTCCTGGGTTGAACACCAGAACGGGATTCTGTTTGTGGCATTTTTATACACTACATGGGAGAAAAATATATAAAAATACACATTTGGCACCATGCACATATTTGAAAAACAATGTGTGAAAAGAACTGTGCACACACATCTGTTTTAGTTGATACAGACAGGCATCCTTTAATATGTCCCCTTTGGGGAAAAAATACACAAAAACAGGTTTCTGTGTTTTGTTGTGATTGTTCTTTTTGAGAAAAGCCAGCACAGTACTTGCATGGAATAGATTTGAAGACAGTGAAAGCAGAAGTCCATGGAAATGGACCTGAAATATTGCCA